TCTTTGTGTATTTAATGAACTTGTTGTATTACATTTACTTGGTGCATTATCATACATCCGCGAGTAACTCGCTAAATGTTCATTAATTAGTTCATCTCTGAACAATGCATTGCTTAATTGTAACACTGATGAATCAACAAATAAAGATGGAAAAAAGTGGTTTTGTGGTTTCAACATCATATATTTAATGATAAGAAACAAAGGTATTGTACTTAAACAATAAATCACTTTGATATATTTTCGAGGTGTACCTTTATTTGGTAATAGAAACATAACTATATAGTGGTAAAATAATTTATTGTATTAACTTGTTGAAAAATATATTTACAACAATATCTAATTAGAAAAAAACTTCGATTCAATAATCTACTATAATTTGGAAAAAATAAATAAAGTATCAATAAAATTCTAATAACAATAATTATTTAGTTATCAAAAAAAACGATTTAATCAATTTGGAATTATTATCGTTAATAAATGAAAACAAATCAATGTGTGATCAATAACAGTCTTTGCATGAATTCTTATGTTGGCTCTTTACTTAAACTTACCATATAAATACTTATCGTATCTCAGAATAAATTGTGTTTGATTGTGAAAAAAATAGCACTTACAACAAAGTACATGAGGCGTTGATAACTTATGATGTCCTTTTCATTTGAAGTTTTTTTCATAGCAACTTCATCATTTGCATGCATGATTCGGTTGAATTAATTGCCATTGAAGGCAATCGAAGCAAGCAAAAAATAATTTTCTATTAGTATGACAAATTATATATCAAACCAAAGGAAAAAAATAATATATGACACTAGTACAATTCGTCGCGATCATTTCGTTGCATACAAACGGGAGGATACATTGACTGAATTAAGTGATTTAGTTTAATATATTGTTTAATTAATCACCCCTAAAAATGTTTTCCATTAGAGTCTAATAACTCTTTCTTGGTAGTTTTTCTCACAAAAAATGATAGGAGTGTCAATTTACAATTTATTTAACCTCCTGTATACCGACGATTCTTGCGTTCTGTAAGAACGCAAAAAAAATATAAAAAATCACTCTCTTTTGCGTTCTGTCACTCTAAATCAGCTGTATGCATGTGCCATATTTTATCATATATGACGTATGGATTCATACAGAACTATTGATATTTGCTCTCTGTAATACACAATAAGGAAGAGACGAAATTTCTAGAATGAGAGCCGATCTGATGAGAGAGAAAGAATATTTGTGCATGTTCAGAACGTCTAGAATTCAAGATGGAGAAAGAGAACTTTTTTGAAGATGAAAATAAGAGCGAAGATGAGGAAGAGGTTGTGTCAGCCCTTCCTGATTCAGATATCGATGAAATGGGCGATCAATTGATCAATATGAATTCAAAATATGAAAGTGAAGAATATAGGTGATAAATTGAATTTAATAAATATGAAAATACTAAACCAAAACTATTTTGTAGTGACGATGATAATATATTTTCTGCTCATGCTATTGATAAAATGCATAACGTGAAAAATAACGAAAAAAAAGGTTATGAAAGTGAAGAATATAGGTAAAGATATACTCTTTTTGATTGAAGTGCAATGAATATTGCTAATTTGTAGCGACGATGATCATATATATCCAAAACGATTAATTACTTCGTCATCGACCATCACCCAAAATAACAATGATGATTGGATATCAGTTGAATCTGGTCATGATCAAAGACCAAAGATCTTACCGGAGTTCAAGGAAAAGGCCGGTCCTACTTTTCCAGTTGATTGTTGTTCTTCTCCAGCTACTTTTTACAATGAGATGTTACCTGACTCTTTATTTGATTATATTGTTACATGCACTAATACTCGTGTTCGTGTTTACTTTGATAACATCCCATCATCATCACAAGGTCAAGAAATATGGAAGCTTGTAAGATTGTTTTACATCTTTAAATATATTGAAATCTAGATTTCAAGGTTTCCCGTGAGGAAATGAAAAAGTTCTTTGCTATAGTAGTTCAAATGGGTATGATTCAAAAACGATCAATCTATGAATATTGGTCGACTGATCCTTATCTTATAACACCAATATTTCATTCACCGCACTATTTGTCTCGTAATCGTTTCCTTTTCATTCTTCGGTAAAATATTTTTATTTTTTGTACCATTGTCATTCATTCTTTCTTCTCATTAGTTTTCTTCGATTTGCGGATTGTGAAAATCTAGTTGTGGATGATCGATTGCAACGGATACGTCCGTTTCTCAATCGAGTGAGAGAAATATGTCTGTCGAAATATATTCCATCCAGAAATATTGCTGTGGATGAAACATTATTACTGTACAAAGGACGATTAGTATGTTGATGTCTTTTCATTGATTCGAAGTTTCTATGTGATTTTATAGTTATTCAAGCAATACAATCCTCGAAAAAGAGCTCGATTCGGCATCAAGACTTTTGCTTTATGTGATTCTTCCAATGGATATCTCGTCAATTTCGAAGTATATACTGGACAAGGTGAGAATATTTTCAATTCATTCTACGTCTAGAAACGTGTTAAATTTCAAGGTACAGAATCATGGGGAAATGATTTTTCGGATGTTCAATCACTTTCAGTGTCTGAGAAAATAGTCATTCATCTAGCTGGACATCTGTTGTATAAATACTACTGTCTATATGCGGATAATTGGTTCGTCAGTGGTCGTTTAGCACGATGGTTGCTTGAACATCAAACAACAATTACTGGAACTATAAAAAAAAATCGAGGTGAGAAACTTCTTTTTATTTCAATAAGATATTGTTATCTATATTGAGAATCATTCATTATTATTTTCTCCATCAAGATGAAAAAGCAATAAGCAGGAGAAGATAGATAATCATAAAATGCAATACTAAATGACGTTCAATGCATTTTCTTGCAAAAGTCCTGCCATTGAACATGATATTTATTTTCTTCTGTCACATTGTTCAATTTCCCATTTTTGAAAGTTTTGACTCTCTGATATGCTCGAATGTCATTTGGAAATCGACAACGAATCATTTGATTGATGAGGTCGGGAAGGATGCATGTTTGACCACGATTTAGAATTTGACAACGATCAAGATATTGAGATAAACGAGTATATAATTCTTTCCGATGTTCTGCATCATTTCGATTTTTTTTACTGGCTTCTAATCGATCAATTACATCTAAAAATTAAAAAGCAAAAATAGAAATACTTATAATCGGTACAATGACCATCAAAGCTCTTACCGATTATTTGAATAGGAACCTCGAGATTACGCTTCTGAAATTCTTCAATTATTTGATTTCGGATTTTCATTTGATCATCAAGCATCATCTTAGTTTTTTTCGCACTATCATTGCTGCTATCGTTTTGATTATTTTCCTTTTCTTCACACGAAAGAAGACGACGTTTTGTTGATAAACTTGAAGAAGCAGCCATATTTAAGTAAATGATCTAAAGAGATCCAAATTCATTCAGAGATTCTATTCGTTATAATTAATTTTTCTGATTAAAAGATCAAAACCAAACCAATTCCATTTTGTACCTAGGAGTGCCGAAAGAGTTGGCGCAAAACAAGCTGAAAGCACCTAGTTCCTGTTTCATGAGAAATGGGGAATGGGGAATTGCTTATGGTTAAATTTGTAGACAAGAAAGCTACCGGTGATAAAAAAATCTATGTAATCGATTCGAAAGGTACGGCTAATATCATTTAAGTTGAACGATTCGGAAAAGGTACATAAATTCACTATTATTTTTCACAATCTTTCTGATTATTCTCAGGTGGTGCGAAAAAATATATCCTGAAACCATCATCAATTGTTGATTATAATCGTAACATGGGAGGAGTTGATCTAAGTGATAGTTCACTTCACCATGCATGTATGGATCGAAAATCATATCGATGGTTTATCGAACTGGGCATTCATTTTTTTGCACGACTTCTCTTCAATGCTTTTGTTATGTATCGTGCTCATGATTCTAAAGCTCGTTTTTCAAATTTTCTTTCTTGGTAAGACCTTTAAAAATTCTACTAAGACCCTCCCTGTTGTTATAGTTTCGTTCGAGAAACTATGGAGTCAACAGGTATTTGTAGAAAAACTTTGGCTGAAACCACACCACCACAAAAACGTGCGAATTCATTGCCAAGCAATATTATTCCTCAAAAGCTCGTGAAAGTTCAGCATTTTTCAAGTAAAGTCTATGTTTAACCGTAATAAAGTAGCATTATTTTATTTTAGGCAAGACCGAATATAATGAAAAAGACATATCCACTTTCTCTTATTTAAACATATGTTCTTTGATACGACAGAACGAAAAAAAACTTTTTTCGTTCTGCTTGTCTTCAGTCTGAAGACAGCGGTATTCAAGAGGTTTAACCTCAAGGACTCTGTCGAATTTGGTGATCTAGTTGGCACAAGGATGTCCTATATATGGCTTTGTAGAAAATTTTAAGGCGTATCGAATGGTATATAGGAAGTTAAATTTTCATTCAGTTTTCATGTAATAAGGGCCCATATATCGGGTATAAATCTATAGGAATTTATGAATACTGGGAGCTTTATGGCGCTCTATAATAAATATATTTGAATCTCATTTTCAAA